TTGTTTTTTTCCCCCAGGTGGATTTCGGGGACCCCGGGGCCCTGGCCCTTTTGGGGGGGGGGGCCCCCCTTCCCCCCCCCCCCGGGTCCCCTCCCCAGAAGTTTCCCCCCCCCCCCCTCCCCCCTCAGGGGACTCTGCCTCCGGAGTGAGGCCCGGCAGCTGGACGCAGCAGAAAAAGTCTGGCGCGCCGCCCTCGTCGCGCTCCGGTGCGCAGCGACGAGCGCCCTCGCCGCCGCCCCGGCCGGGCCCAAGGGATCCTTTCCCTCCGCCCCCCCCCCCCCTCCCGGGGACAGGCTGCTCGATGGTCCTGAACCGCGGCCGGCTGGTTGTGTTTGGTGGCCAAGCACGACAGCGGGCCGTAGGGTGTGAATGGCGTCTATCCACGTTGTGCGTGTGAGCAGGCGGCGTGCATGACGAGGACACTGCGGACGGCGACGGGCTCGTCTCCGAGTTCTACGCGGACGCCCACTCGTACACAATCGAGACTGGCCGCTGGCGCGCCCTGGCAGTGGAGAGCAAGCCGGGCAAACCGGCCGCACTCGCCGCAGCCGACAGCGGCGGCGGCGAGGGCGGCGTCGCCTCGAGGGCGGCGGAGGGGGGCGATGCGACGAGCTTGTTGGCGCTGGGCGGCGGGCGACGGCGCAACCGCAACCGCAACGATAGCGATGACGAGGACGTGGCGGGCGCCGCCGCGCTTGCCGCCGGGACCGCCGCCGGAGCAGCGGAGCCGCCGCTGGCCGAGAGCGAGGAGGGTGGCGCCGCCTCTGCGCCGGCGCCGTGCCCCCGGATGAACCACAGGGTCGCGCTCAAGGGCAACACCATGTACGTGTACGGCGGGCTGTACGAGCCCGAGGAGTCCTCCGAGATCACGCTGAACGACATGTGGAGCGTCGACTTGTCCAAGCTCGACGGCTGGACCTGCCTGCATGCAGGCAACGCGCCCGAGGACGCGCTGGTGCGGGAGCTGTCGGACGACGGATCGAGCTCCGACGACTCGAGCGAGGGGGAGGGGGAGGAGGAGGAGAGCGGCTCGAGCGATAGCGAGGACGAGACAGCGGGCCCTCCTTCTTGATGAATTGGTACCAGAAAAAGGTCCCCTACGGTCAGCACACGTAGCACAGACTGCTCTGCTGTACGTCTACGTGCGCGCCCGAGAGAGGGACTGCAAGATGTCGTGTGCGTGATCCGCTTTCGCACAGGTGTTGTGTTCTCCCCCTCCGTTGTATAGCCGCGCGCGCTTTGTACAGAGCCTGTCACCCTCTCCTAGAGCACCTCCCGCTACCCGTACCCCGAGCCCGTACCCGCGCGCCCCGCGGAGCTGCCTCGCCGCGACTGGGACTGCTGTGTGCAGCCACGAGAACGCAACTCTCACAAGCCTAAAGCACCGCACGCACACGATGCAACATTCGTCCGCCCTGGAGCCTTCGACAGGGGCCAGCGGCGCTCGTCACACAGACCACCCCTCGTACGCTCAGAGCACAAGCATTGGGAGGAGAGTACAAGCCAGAAGAGCCGGCGCACGTCCAACCCCAAGCGCCAAGGCCCAGGGGCTAACAGCGCGGGGTGAGGATGGAGAATCGTCATTCAAATCAGCATCACGGGACCAGCGCCGCGGCACCGGCGGGTTGGCAACCGTGCTGCAGCAGTCAAAGGCATGAGGTATCCGAGTAGCATTTCTCTAGAGGAGTCATCGGCGGGGCAGGCGCAGCCAACTCCTTGGCGGGGTCGCCGACGTCTCCCTTCTCCTCCTTCCGTCCTTTCGGCGCCTGGGGTGAGTGGAAAGGGCCCAGGCAGAGAGCTTCCGCGTAAGACATGGACCGCGCCGTCCGCGTCACTAGGGTGAACTCTTGGGCGAAGTCCCACGAAGTGCCCATCATCATTGCTGAGCTGGAATCGACCATTGTCCACTCTTCGTTGTCTGGCGGTTGGCCCGCCGTGCGGCGGTGCGAGGGGCGAAAGAGAACGCCTCGCCACATGAGATCACGTGAACATTGAAAACCGCAGAGCAGTCAGTGGACGTGCGCGCGGACTTGAGAGAACTTCGTAGTCGTTTGTTATGCAGAACGCGTAAGAATTTTGGCTCGAAAGAAGAAGAATTTTACCAGAAAAGGCGGTCGCACGACACGATTCACGCGACAGGCGAGGAGAAACTCGCCTTCCAAGAAGAAGTAGATTTTGTCGGCTTCTAACTCTCTCGCCTTCCACCGCCCATGCGGAGCTAAATTGATGAACTCTTTTATTCTCGAAAAGAAGCTCCCAACTCTGTGGAAGGAGCCACCCCTCGGAGGACGCGGGCTCGCCTTCCACCGCCCATGCCAGCAGAGGAAGCGCAAGGGCGAGATGCTAGAGAACGTGGGGCCAGTCAGGGCGGCGCTCTCTACCACCTTCAGCTCCGGACCCTTCAGCGCGTCCGCCACTGATGATACCGCGCGGGTCGGGTTGGGAGGAGGACGAACGAGCATAAGCTGTTGCTCTTGGACCGTTTCTTTTCGCGCCGCAGCCCTGAGCCGCTGCTGGCGAGCCGTGGAGCGCAGGCCGGCATCGACAAGTGTGACTACCGGCGCGATATACGTGGTATACCAGCCCAGCGCACACAAGGGCGCAGACGTAGTATAATGCTGAAGAAGCACCCGCTCGCGGCCATCTCTGTGGCGTACAAGCGCGCCGTCGTGCGCGCCTGCGCCGAGTGGCTGCGCGAGATCGAGGGCCGCCTCGCGCAGCCGTGTGGCGCGCGGTGGGACCAGCAGCTCGCCGGCTGCGACGACCTGGCGACGGTGGCGCGGCTGGTGCTCAGCCTGCAGCGGCGGTCGTCGCTCAAGACGGCCGAGTCGGGTTGGCTCGAGGACCTCGCCACGCTGAAGCCTGAGGAGGCGGACAAGCGGGCTGTGCCAATCACGCTGGCCGTGAAGAGGCGGCTGACAGAGCTCTCCGAGGCCGTGCCGTACAGCGTCCCTCCCTCCTCGCTGCTCGGCGCGCGCGTGCTGCGCCAGCAAGGCAGCGCCGGCGCCCACCAGGGCGTGGTCCTCGAGTTTGAGCCGCTCGTCGGGTTCCGGGTGCGGTGCAGCCGAGATCTGGCCGAGGCTTTAGCCGAGATACGGGGCTCGGTGGCACGTCCCGCGTGCCTGTCCTCTCCCGCTCTCCTCCCATAGACTGCTGCTTCACGCGCCCACGAGCAGGTGCGTTACGACGACGGCGAGATCGAGGACTTGCCGCTGCGGGAGCTGCAGTCCATGCTGCTGAGAGACGGCATCCGCGCGCCCGCGCCCGCGGCGGGCGGCGGAGCGCTGCTGCCCGGCTACGAGGCCTACGGCGACGACGCGACCGTCGCCGACGTCCTCGCCCGACTCGACGCGCGGCGCAGACCGGCGGCGGGCGGGCCGGCGGCGGCGCAGGCGCAGGCGCAGGCGCAGGCGCAGCCGTCGGGGAGAGGCGCCACCGCCGCCGCACGGCCTGCGAAAGCCATGGCTAGCGCCGCCGCCGGCAGGGTAGCGGCCAGCGGTGTGGCGACGACCGCTCCCCCCTCGGCCTCTCTTCCCGCCGGCCAGGGCGGCGGCGGCGGCGGCGATGGTGGTCGGGCGGCGGCGTGGCGAGGCGGCACTGGCGGCGATGGCGGCGGGGCTGGTGCTGCCATCTCGGCCGGCAGCGGCGGTAGCAGCGGCGGTAGTGGTGGCGGAGGCGGAGGCGAAGGCGGTAGCAGAGCCGGCGTCGACGGAGATGCTGGCGGCGGCGGCGGCGGCGGCAGCGGAGGGGCGCTCCCCCCCGGGTGGGAGGTCGAGGGGGAGGGGAGCGGGCGAGTCTACTGCGCGCCGGACGGCATGACTCGCGTCCACTCGCTCTCGGAGGTGTGGGCACAGCCGAGATGCAGCCGAGATGCAGCCGAGATGCAGCCGAGATGCAGCCGAGATGCAGCCGAGATGCAGCCGAGATGCAGCCGAGATGCAGCCGAGATGCAGCCGAGATGCAGCCGAGATGCAGCCGAGATGCAGCCGAGATGCAGCCGAGATGCAGCCGAGATGCAGCCGAGATGCAGCCGAGATGCAGCCGAGATGCAGCCGAGATGCAGCCGAGATGCAGCCGAGATGCAGCCGAGATGCAGCCGAGATGCAGCCGAGATGCAGCCGAGATGCAGCCGAGATCTCGGCGGCGTTTCCCCCCGTCTCGGCTCGGCCGCGTCGCCGCCTCCGCTCCGCTGCCTCCGCGCCGCTGACGCGCCGTGGCCTTGGCGCGGCGTCAGGTGGCGCGCTGGCAGCGCTCGCAGATGAAGATTCTCGCGCAGTACGAGCGCGTGAGCGAGCGGAAGCGGGCACGGGAGGAGCGGCCGCCGAAGCCGGACTTTGGCGACTTGGGCGTGCGGCCTGCGCCTGCCCCCGCCTCGGAGGCGCCGCTCTCCTGGCTGCTCTCCTCCTCCTTCTCTCTCCCCCCTCCCACCCAGCCCTCCCTCCACCCTGTCCTCCCTCGCCGCCTCTCCTCCCCGCCCCTCTGCCCGCGAGTAGCCTTCTCTTCACGCCTCCTGCCGTGAACAGGCGTGGGTGGCCGTCGGGCCGGAGCCGAAGCCTTTGTCGGCGTCCGCGAGGCAGCAGCTGCCGGCGCCGGGCATGAGCGTCGAAGACGCGGCGGCCGCCGCCGCCGCCATGGCCGGCCGGGAGGCGTCCAAGGGGAAGCGGCTGCCACGCGAGCTGCGCAACCTGGCGATGCCCGACCGCGACTGGAACGTCGCCATCCCCTACTTCAACCTGGGCGCAAAGACGCGCGACCAGGAGTCGTTCGCGCAGGGGTCCGGCACGGACGGCGGCGCCTTGCCGCCGCACGGGCGATAGAGGGTCCGCGCCACCAGCGGGGAGAGCTGGAGCCAGGCGAGAGAGCGACGCAGCGAAGGGAAAAGGGGGGACCAGGCGAAGGCATCGCTCATAGCGCTCTGTGCGCGTGGCGGCGAACCTAACGTGTGTACCCCTCTCTGCTGGGAACCCGAACCCTGCTCTCAACAATAACAAGCTGCGTATCGCCAGGCCGCGTTTCGGCAGGGATGCGCCACCAACTGGCGACTCCCGCCATCTTCCCATCTCTCGTCGTCTCGCGGGTTTGCTGCTGCGCCGACCCGAGGAGTATGCGCGCGAAAGACCTCAAGGCAGAACTCGACTCGCGAGGTGTCGGCTGGCGCGGCGTGGCCTTCGAGAAGGAGGAGCTCTGCCGACTCGTGGAGGCGGCTCGGCTTGCGCCGCCACCACCGACCGCGCCGCCGCCGGCCGCTCCACCGCCGCCGGCCGCTCCACCGCCGCCTCCGGCCACCGCGGCATCGCCACCGGCGCCCGAGGCCACCACCCGCGACCCTGCGCCTCCGGCGAGCGGTGCAGTGAGCGACGAAAGGTCCGCCGTCGCGGGGATGCGGGTGCCTGCGATCAAGGCGGAGCTGGCGGCGCTCGGCGTGGACGCGTCGACGATGTTTGAGAAGGTGGACTTTGTCGAGGCGCTGCTCAAGGCTCGCTTGATGAAGAAGGCGGAGAGGCCGCCCCGGGGCGCGGCGAAGGATTTTGAGTACGGCGCGCAGTCGAGGCAGGGAGAGGATGGAGGGATGGAGGACGCCTTCAAGGCCGCCGGCTGGACGGGCGAGGAGGAGCGCGACCCGTACAACGTAGACACAGCCCGCTCACCCGGGCTGCGAAGAAACTTTGCGGACGTCGGTAGAGACGACTTTCGAAAGCCCTGGACTGGCGCGCGCTGAGAAAGGACTGGGAAAGGCTGTGGCCCCTCGCGAGCGTGCCGTGACGGAAGCTGTTCGTACGGAGAGACAGTGAGACAGAGTGCAACCCCGCCCCTACGTCTGACAACGCCGATTTTCCGTCAGAGAGAACGCCGTGTGTTTTGCGGGTTCAGCTTTTCCGCGCATTCTCACACACTCCGCCGCGTCTCCGACACTGCGCGGGTACGTACAACACACAATAAAAACGAAAAAAGGCACGTACGGTCCAGAGCAACCACTCCAGCTCTACATACGTATAGGTCGAGTCAGAGTACAGAGACCGGACCGCTCGCGGGGGGAGGTGTCGAGGGTGTGTGAGAGACGCAGCTCGCCAGTATGTGAGACTGAGAGACGAAACTTGACACGTGTGTGTGTGTGTGCGCGCGCGCGCGCGGGCTGCGGGGAGGGGCGGGCGGTGTCGACCAGTGACATGACCAGTGATCACGCGCGCGCCTCGCCCGCGACTCGCGCGTCACGCCTGCGCTCTCAGCAGCCAAATCTCAAGGCGAAGAGTTGTCCCCCTCGCCGCCGTGCTCTCCGTCCTCCCCTCCCCCTCGCTCCTCCTCGCCGTCCTGCTCCTTGCGTGCCCAGGTGGAGGCGAGGGCGGCGTCCGACGAGAGCAGCTCGCCGAGGAGGCCGGTCGCCTGGCAACAAGTCATATCATTCAGGATGGGACGCATAAGTGATCGTTGACGGCTCGTCATGCGAGGACAAGGCGAGCAACACCCCGGCCGTCAGGGAGGGGCAGGCGAGGGGCTGGGCGAGAGGTGAGAGGCGAGAGGCGAGGAGGGGCGAGAGGCGAGAGGCGCCTCCGGGTCGGCCGACACGGCGGCGTCCACGCGCGCAAGGCCCTCCTCAACGCGCTCCGCGGCCGCGGAGGCCTCGGCGGTGGCGCCGGCCGCGTCCATGCCCGCCAGTCGGCGGGCCTGCACCTTCACCTCCTCTTTCTGCCCCGTCAGCACCGCCCGAAGCGTCGAGATCTGCGCGCGGATGCCGGGCTCCGGCTCGCCACTCTCCGCCTCGAGCTGCGCCGCCATCGCCTCGAGCCGCGCGAGCAGCGCCTCGCCGCCGCCGCCGCCGCCGCCAGGGTGGACAGCTCTGCTCGCCAGCTCAGACAACCCGCCAGGAGGAGGCGACGCGAGGAGCGGGTCGTCGTCGTAGACCACTGCCGTGCGGCCGTTCGGCTCGTCGTCTGGCTCGATCTCGCCGTCGAAGTCGTCGGCGACGCCAATGTTCCCGAACTGGGCTTCGAGGGCCTCGATCGAGGGCACGCTCATCGGGCAGCAAAACGCAGAGAGCGAAAGCTGGCGAGTACGCCTGCATTCACAGCACAAGCCCTCGCCGGGGGCTCGAGCATGCGCAGCGAAAAGCATCCTTTTTCCAGACGGATCCCCCCTGTGAAAAAGTGAGGCGTGGTCTGTACTCGCCAGGAGCGAAAGCGGGCTCAGCAACTGGGCACAAAAGAAAGCGCGCGCGGCGCACTCTGTCAAAAGAAATCCGGCTTCACCATATCCGAAGCCCGCGCGGCCCGCTCGTCGAAAGTGGCCGCCATCACCGACAATAAGAAGCGCGGTTTCTTCATTGTACTGCCCGCCTCGGAGAGCCCGGCGGGGCAGAGCCCGGTACACGAGCCCGGGCACAGCTTACACACACACATGTCCTACAGCCGCCTCACTGGCCTCGGCGCTATCGCGCTGGCCGCCATTTATTGCCTGCGGAGGCGCCTCATCGAGCGCAACGCCCGTGCGCGCGCCGCCCGTGCCTTCGCCGCGCTCGGTGGCGGCCCTGCCCGCCTCTCCTCCTGGGTCGACAAGCGGGTGGAGTACGCGACGGCGGAGGCCGACCCACGGCGCGCCTTCTTCGACGCCCACGGCTTCTTCGTCGCGCGCTCCTTCTGCGCCGCCAGCGAGTGCCAGGCGCTCATCGCTCGGATGGCGGGTCTGGTCGAGCAGTGGGACCCCGAGGCGACCAACCCTCCTGTGCCCGCTCCATCCGCCAGCCTCGACGCACAGACACCGCAGTGACGGTGCACAGAGCTCGCCGTATCCCACCGCGCTCAGGTGGACAACGCTGCGGTGTTCCGGACGGATGCAAAGCAGGAGAAGGCGCAAGGCAGCTCGGACTACTTTCTCGACTCGGCCGACCGCATCCACTTCTTCACCGAGGTTGGCGCCGCCGCCGCCGACGGCGTCGGCTTGCGGCCGTCCTACCGCTCGCGCAAGGCGGAGGCGCTCAACAAGGTCGGCCATGCACTGCACTTGCGCGATGCTGTCTTCCGCGGCTACTCCAACTCGGCCAAGCTGCGCGAGCTGGTCGGCGCGCTTGGCTGGGTGAGCCCGGTGGTGCCGCAATCGATGTACATCTTCAAGCAGGCGGGGATCGGAGGCGAGGTGACCAGCCACCAGGACTCCACCTTCCTCTTCACGACGCCGCGCCAGACCTGCCTCGGCCTCTGGCTCGCGCTCGAGGACGCGACCCTCACAAACGGCTGCCTCTGGGTGCGGCCAGGCTCGCACCACGAGCCCGTGCGGCGCGCCTTTGTGCGGCAGCCGCAGCCGCCCGCGGCGGGCGGAGCGGCGGGCGGTGCGGCGACGACGGCGATGGGCTTCGAGCAGCAGCCGGAGGCGGAGCCGGTGGCGTGGGAGGGGGCTCTCCCGCGCAGTGCCGCGCCAGGCGGGCTGCTCGGTGGCTTGCTCGCTGCGCTGCGGCGGCTCGCGCTCGGCTCGCGCTTCGACGACCTTTTCGCCGCCGGCTTTGTGCCGGTGGAGTGCCGCGCGGGTGACCTCGTCTGCTTCCCGGGCACACTCGACCACCTCAGCCTTGCAAACAGTACGGGCAAGTCGAGGCACACCTTCCAGCTGCACCTGGTCGAGGGGCCCGCCGCCGGCGTCGAGTGGTCGCCGCGCAACTGGCTGCAGTACCCCACGGGCGGGCCGCCCTTCCACGCGCTCGGCAACCTGGCCCCCCTCGCGCCGCTCCAAAAGGCGTGAAGCCCGTTATTGCAAAGCGCGCGGGGCTCCTACTCGCAACGAGCACTGGGTGAGGTTGCTATGGGTGAGGTTAGCATGCAGAAGCACGGCATGATGGAGCGCGATGCGGCAGAGCGGGCCCTCCTCGAGAAGTGGTTAGACTCCGCTAAGTCGGCGGAGGCGTCGATCGACGAATCCGCTTGAGCACGAGAGCGGAACGAGGGCTATCGTCCGCGGGCTGTCGTCCGCTCGTCTCCCGGGCATGAGCGCGCATACTTTTTCAGTGTATTTTTAGCTTACTGGGAGAAAAGAGAGAGGGGGTTGTGTTCTCTAGGCCCCTAAGGGCCCTACGCGCGGCGTGAGAGCTCGAGCTCTCTCTCAGTGTATGTACTTTTAGCTTACTGGGAGAAAAAAGAGAGAGGGGGTTGTGTTCTCTAGGCCCCTAAGGGCCCTACGCGCGGCGTGAGAGCTCGAGCTCTCTCTCAGTGTATGTAGCTCTTACGTACATTCCCGTAGGAGGACTCTGCTTTGGGCACGCAGTCTCTCTCTTTCTCTTTGGTACCAGGTTTTCTTCTTTTTTGTACATGAATATCCCGCCAAGAGTCGATTGATGCTGTGCTCCGTCTGCTCCTCCGTCATTCGAGATCGGCTTGTGCTCGATCCGTCCCTCCCCGTCTGCTGCTCTTCGTGTGCCGTCAAGGCTTGTGTCTCGTGTCCTCCCGGCGCAAAGCGCGTGCCGTACAAGAACTCCGCGGGCCACCACTGCATCACGCTCCTGAACTCCACCACGAGCACGGTTACTCTTCCTTCTTTCTAGACTCCATTGCCTTTAAGGAGGCTGCTCTAGCCCGATGCCGATCATCCGGCTCGCTGGGTGCGCTTCTTAGCTCCCCGGCCCTGGATGTGAGTGAGGTTAATGACTGCACTCCAAGTGCTCCAAGTGCTCTCGCGCGTCTCAGAGATGTGGCCGTGTCTTTTGATTCGGGCGCCGCCCCTTCGTCTCTTGCTATCCCCTCGCCGTCTGCTTCGTGCTTAGTGTCGTGAGAGAGCCTCGGTAAGTAAAATTCTTTCTCCCATGCAATCGTCGTCGGTCGTTGGCCGGTCGTCCGTTGCCCCTCGTGAAAGCGCTGACAACCGCGACGTTCCTCTCTCGGACTCGATCCGCGGCGCGCCGCGAAAACTGCCGACGATGGAGACCGAAAAGCAGGTCCGCTCCGCCTTCGCCCGCCCAGTTGTGATGGCTGCTGGCCAACCCGATCCCTTCGAACCGCAGGAGTCCATGTGCGGGAGCTCAATGTCCCACGACATAGGTGACCGGCCCCATGAGAGCCCTTTTTCCAGCCGTCAGCAACCCCCGCCTTGCCGTTGTCCGCAGCGTTTTTCTGCCACCTCGTGAGCACGGTCCTTTCTCTCTTCGGGATATTTCAATTCTCGACGTTGTCGTACGTCTCGGACCCGAACAGACAAGAAAAAGAGATCATGCAGAAGGTGTGCATGTTCCTCTTCTTTCTCTCTCCGGTGCTCGCATTGGTCGTCTTCTGCAACAGGAGAAGCCCGACGACCCTCTCCAAGGCTGCAACTGCCCTCGCGTTTGTGTTCCTCGGCGCGATTGTCGTTTACACCGTCGCTCGCGTTGGCCCGTACAACATATGGTGGGGTGGCTACTGCTACGTCCTGCACGTAAACGACAATCGCTGTTACAACTTTGATCGCTGCGGGTCAACTACTTGCTGAGGAAGCCGGAGACGGCGCTGTTCGCAGCGGCCAGCTCTGGGTGGCTGTCCCTTTCTCGGGAGCAGGCGGACATCGCTTCCAGGGGGGGGTCCCCACCCCCCCCTAGCATGTGGTGAAGTCTCTGGGGGGGTCGGGACCCCCCCCCTAGCATGTGGTGAAGCCTGGGGGGGGGCGGGGCCCCTCCCTAGTTGTCTGGTTGGCACATTAGAAAATAGGTCGAGGGCGATTTGGGCCCCT